CCTTTATACTTGAGTCTTTATAAAAATGAATCATTTATGTTAATACAGAAAGGAAACTTTGTCGTGAACACTCAAAATTCAAAGAATTGGAACCAGCTGTTCTAAAAATGACTCATAATCTTGCTTACTAGACAGTCTTACTGAAGTAAGATGTCAATATTAACATTTTCTCCACTGCTGCAGGTTTAAGTCTCTGTGGGTTAGTGAAAGCAACCTACAGCTAAAACTATGTCCACATACAGCAAAGCCCACGTGTCACTTGATTCAATTAAATGCATAATAGGGGCTTTCTAGAACCACAGCTTTAAATGGCCTTTTTGTCCTGTCCCTCATACATCTGGGGCAGTGAACATGACATTAAAACGCAGCCAGAAAAATGTCCCGTAAAGAACTTTATTGACAAAAAGGTAAATTCTTAATAACCCTTTAGTAGGCTCCATTCAAGAGGGGGTAATATGTCATATGAGTAGGACTTTTACTGCTCTCAAAGGAATTCCCCATGTTAAAAGAATGTTTTCAGTTTAGAGAGAACCCAACTGCAAAACATTCCTGAACTGTGACAATCTTTGCCCCAATCTAATATTATGTGGTGGATCTTTGTTTGCTGAGGGGGAGTCGTCTATATCCTGCTAGAATGTTTTTTTCTCCTTCAATTCAGAGCTCAACAAATATGATCCAAACAACCAAATTGATTAAAATCCTTTACTGGGAAGGAATAGATTGAGTCTTTGGACATGCTTCAATAGCTAACAGCGTCACTAACACAGCAAAGGCCACGTATCTAACAAATACCACAGTGTCTCACAGAAGAGTCTGAAGAGTCCGGACTGAATAAAGCTTTTCTCTGGAAAATATCTATAAGAATCTACAAAGCAGTTACCACGTGCAGCGCGCTTCTGTTTCTGGGCAGTGAGGGGCCCCCACCAAGCTCACTGGGGAGGCTCACCTTCCCACCACATGCGATTGTCGTGGAGCCCAGGAAGGACAAAGCTACGAGCATTTACAGAACCACACGAGCACGGTTCTCACGGGAGACCAAATATTGTACTGTTTTTCAAAAAAAAAAAAGTTGAAATCCGAATTCCAACATTTGTTCATAGCAAGGCTGTAAAACAAGAAGACAAAGGTCTCAGGGGATTTGCGATACTTTGGTGGATTATAGGTAAAGGGAGGGGGAAGGCCATGTGGGGGTATTGCAGACTGGCCTTGAAAACAGAGAGATCTAACTCAATCTAAAAATAAAATGGAGCCCAGAGACTGGGTGTGAGGTGATGAGTAACACCATTTGGTTACGATTCAGGTCAAGGCCCAGCTTTTAAAGTGTATCTACACCACTTACTCTTGAGACAATGTCGATCTTCCAGTACAATCCTCTGAGCCTCGGTTTGTCCATCTGAAAAATGGGAGGAAGGCATCAGGAAGATTAAATGCTGTGTTTGGTGAAAATCACTTAATACTGTATCCGGGACTTAAACCTTCAATAGAAGACATTTGGAACATTTAAATATAATAAATATAAACATATAAATATAAATAAGGATAAATATAAATACAGGACAAATAATATGAGCTGAAATCTATGCACTCCACTCTGAAATCCCAAACAAGCCCGTCTTGGACTGCGTGGCCATTCAGATCATCAAGACGAAACAACACTGTGACCGACCCGTGCTGCTGTGACAGAGCGCTATTTTCCACGTTACATGTGTGTTTCGTGACTGACCAGAGTTGATGCCCACATGGGGAGGCCTATTTGTTCATGGCTGAGAAGACCGAGGCATGAAACCAAATTTTTTTTCCCACCTTCCACATCTGTGAAGTGCATTTTGGTGTCCCTACAGACCACCAGGGAGCATTCGCTTTCAGCCAGAATGAACACAGACTCTACTACTTTGACGTTTGCTTCCTCAGCGTTTTATTGGTGAAAGTGTCAGCTCGGCTTAGCTCACCCTTCAAAGATGTGCGGCCTCCTTTTATGCCCAGACATTCCCCAGCTCTTCGTGACCGTCCTGTGCATCGGGCTTTCTTTTATGTCTCCGCACTGCCACATCATCTTCTCCTTCCGGAGGGCTCTCCGTCACTCCTGATTTTTAAAACCTGGTCGATGATCAAACACTCCGGTGGACAAACACTCGTTCATGTCCCAAGAACCACGGACATACACCAGGGTGACAGGTCACTAGGATTTAGTCCCAGATGAGATTTAGTTTGTTTATTTTTAGCTTCTTATGAAGGTAATTTTCCCTTCAGAGCTACTCAATTAATCCT